ATCTTGTGACATTTCGTAACAATGCAAACAAGATGTCCTCTCTCTATGAACTTAAAAAGAGTGAAAAACTATAACTTCTTTTACCAATAAACCACAGTTCTGAAATCAGTTGTGGATAAGATGGGAGAAAAAAAGATGTGGGTCTCAAAGATCAGTTAACATTTTATAGAGGTTTGGGTTTAAAAGCTGCAAGAGTCCAAGCATTGGGCTATGAGGCGATGATGGCTTGCATTTGTAACGCTTCAGAATATTCGGAAGACAAACCTAGCTAGACTCGAACGAACAACGCAAGGCAAGAGTATCCACACATAAAAGAAGGAGGCGTAAAAGACAAATAATCATATGTGCTTCCCCGGAGAGGCGAATAATCGTACAAGTTAAAGGGGCCAGAGAGTATAAACATACACTACTTCTCGTATTCAAATGATGTGATTCGAAGGCAGCAAGTCAGCCCACCTGAGCATTGAGAATGAGAAGCGGAGCATGTTCAGTGCTTATTAATCATATGGAATCAACATTCCCACATTGTTTATTAGTATAATTTATTCAAAGGAGATTAACCTCCCAGTCCCACTGCATCCTATTCCATTTCCCTGCTGAGTGTTGTATTTTATATATTTGACAAATCCAGGTGAACGGTCCCCATTCCATAACCAGTCACATAGAGCAGAGAAAATCTATTTCTTTTGTGTTTTTTTTTCCTCATGATGAAGTCTAAAGTTGCAAAGTCATACAGCCTCCAATACGTGATCCATGTTGTCATTACCGAGCAACCCCCCAGTCAACATGAATAAACTAATAGAACAAAGGAAAGCAACCCTAGCTCCGTACGTAGATTGAACACAAGTATCCAACTTAGAATGCTACTTTTGGAACCCATAATTGCCGTGGTGAACACAAGTTTAAACATTATTTTTTTTAATTTTTTTCTAAGTATCCTACAATATATAAATACTTAATTTTGATTATTAGTTGTTGGAGAATTGTTTACCTATAGAAAATAAAAAGAGTAAGGAAAGTTTCTGCAAAGCTTTGAGACGGAACCCTCATGGTTCTCACACAAAACATTATTATATTATTTCATTAGGTCTATGAGACACACACACACATATATATATATATATATATAACTTTATTTTTTATTTATCATGTATATCATTTTTAAAAATTATTTACTTTTAAAAATATTTTCAACATAATCTTAAAGTTTTAACTTTAACTTGCTGAATTGTACATATAATTTGAGGATCTGCTATGACCTTTGTTATTTTTGGGTTCTTGGGGAAAAGCATATTGTTAAATCTTTCATCCCAAATATCAGAATTCAAAAGCTGTAAAAAGAATAATAGAAAATTAAGCAATCGAGGAAGAAGAATAAGGAATAAATTACGGAGGGGATGATTGGCACTGGCAATAGGAGAAACAATCTTTGCTCATCAAGTTTTTGTTTCTCTTTTCTTGATATATATATATATATATATATATATATATATATATATATATATTCCTTGATTGAATCTAAAAACTTCAAATATATATATATATATAATAATTTTAAATTCCTATTAATTCAATCTGTTTGGTTAAAAAAATTCAACCAAATCAAATTGACTAAAATAACCCAACTTATCAAATTGAACACCGAATCAAAAAAATCCAAACTCAGTTGGATTCGAAATGGATTTGTTCAGCCCTGCTCTTTTCCTCTCCCTGTATACTTGAGCAAGAACCGGGTAAATTTATACCCGGAATCACATAACCAAAACCTGTGGCTGGCATTGGTCTGTCAATCATTAAAGGAATGACGGACGGTCGTCAAAGCAAAAAAAGGCACAAGGCATTTGGGGAAAGAAAAGGGTTGAAGCTGAATATTTGCTTGGAGAGAAAGCTGCCCCAAAGTGCCTTTGCGTTGGAACATCCAAAGCGAAGAAAACGATATATAAATAATATGGAAAAGCAAAGGTTAATAACAAACTTCACCACTCCAGTCCTTGTCCCACCCCACCACTCCTTCGGCCCTTCCTTCGTTTTCTTGGTGAATATAAATACAACCCCAACAATCTACCAGTAGTTGCAGCAACTGCTTCATTTCTTCTTTAGTTTCTTGTCTCTTTCGCTTTCTTGTTCACTGCCTCTTCTTTCTACTTCCAAGAATCAAGCCCTTTTGCCTGTTTCAGACGACTGACCAGTCCGGGACCATGGCAAAAGAATTAGAGATGGAGGTGCCTGAATTCTTTCCCAGCTCTCCTACTTCACCTCTGTTTTGTTCTTTTTCTTTTCTTTTTTTTTTTGCCTTGATTTTTATGTCAGCTAAGCCTTCAACTAAATGATTTCAGAAGATTGAACTGAAGGTGTCTGTAAACTGTTGCGATGGCTGCAAGAGGAAAGTTAAGAAGGCATTGCAAAGTATTGAAGGTAAACCTTGAAGGCATTGAATGAAAATTAGTTGCCCAAATTCAGTCAGGAAATTGATTATATTAATGCATGTCGTCGTCATGCGTTAGGTGTTCTAAAGATAGAAGTGGATTCGCTGCAGCCGAAGGTCACAGTCCTTGGAAATGTGGATCCGCAAGTTCTGACGAAAGGCTTTCCAAAGTGGGAAAACAAGCAGAAGTACGAAGACATTGGAATCAGAATGGTGCAGCAATGGGAAACAAGGAGATACAATGCCTGCAGTAGCAAAAAGAGAAGGAAAAAAATCGAAACCGATAAGAATGAGTGTCAGCATGAGCAAGCAAAACCCACATCAGACTCATCACGTGGCAATGGAAGCAAGGATGAAGGTACTGAGAAAAGTTCAAAGAAGAAAGATGAGACAGAGCTGAATAAGATGGGAAATCCTTTTCCTTTCCAGCTTATCCAGAAGTGATCGGTACAACTGCCAGAAATGATGGGTGATGTAAGGGCAATGGTACTCATATGCATTAACCATACCATTACCATGCTATGCAGTGCTTCATATGCACTTGCTGCTGCTGCTGCTGCTCCTCTGCCTCAGACATGTTGCAGCCAGGAGTACTTCCATTGCCAGCCCCCATTATTCAACACACCTACAACAAGGGTTGGGGATTATTTTAGTGACGAGAACACCCTAGGATGCAGTGTAATGTAACTGACACTAGCAGTTACTCACACATCAGAGAAACTAGGAGGTGGCTTTTTTTTTTGGTTCGGACTAAGTCAGTTTATCATTTCATTCAATTGGGAAATTAGACTTTTTTTGTAGCCTTAAAATGAGTTTTTGTCACTCCTTTTGTTTCTTTAAAGATTTATGTCTTTTGCTAGAAGAAGGAGAAGAAAGATTACTTGTGGTCACAAATCTTAAGTTACTTAATGGTGACCCGTTCTCTTCCTTCTACTTTGTTTTGGCATAAATTTGTGAAAACAACCACAGTTGAAAGAAAAAGCTAATAGAGAGAGAGATTCAATTTGAGGTGATGGTCAAGGATTCCATTACTTACTACATTATCAATTTTAATGAACAAAATTTGTGTGTATACATCATTACTCTTGTATGCTAGGGATGGCATTTCAAAAACCTATATACAACTTTATATTCTTACTGTGTGTTCATTTAATTATAACCAAGTAAGCATTTTGACTCAACGGTAAATGCATGTATCTCTTCTGCAAAGAATTAGAACATTCTAGAGTAATACATCAAGAGAGACATTGCATTAATACCAGGGAATTGACAGCAGTGTAATGGATAGAAAATTAGCCAAGAAAGTTTAACGGACCAACAAAATCCGACAGCAAGTATGATCATCAACTGATAAGAGCCAATTAGTTTATTGAAACTAAAAATACCTAAAGGAAGAAGCTTACATGCTCAAATACAAACTACTGGCTAGTTCATCAATTTAGAAGAAACATCAAATAATGCACTCACATTTAGATACTTCTAAGAGAATGCTAATGATCTGCCTAGAACTCAAATGAAGCAATGATCATCCTCAAGAATGCAGCCCAGCCCACCGCCAACCCATCCTGTCACCTTGTTACATCTTGTTACTAAAAGCAGGTAGTTGTACAAAAAGTTCCAAAACTGTTGGGACTGCAATGCTAGGTCTAGGATCAGGAGAGAAATTTTCTGAAATAGCATTTACCTCATTCGAATTCCAAAAGAACGAATTATTGCTAGAACAAATCATCAGATGATTTAAAATGTCAACAGTCAGCACAGATGCCAAATTAAAACATTTAAGAATTAATCAATCATCCTTTAAAGCATCTTTATATTAACTACTTCCCGCTTCACCTACCCTGACTGTGTTAACATGCATGGAACTAATGAATGCTGGAAAAAAGAAACAGAAAAAGGATTTTTAAGATCAATTTTATCAAAGTTCTCTGCAATTGTCAAGTGCAACTTATTTCGCAACGCATGAAATTGAGCAGGTTGAATCCTGTAAGTAGTGGTGGAGCCAAGATTAAATCAGTGGGGGGCCAATATAAAACACAGATTTTAATACTATAAGATTAACAATTTGGTATGGGTAGAGGAGGGAAAAGAGGGGGGGGGGGGGGGGGGGGGGTGTTGTGGGGGAGAGAACATAATAACTTTTGAATTTGGCCTTAATTGCAGCATAAAATGTAGGAATTTCAGAACTTTTGGAGGGCCATCGCCACCTCTGGTCCTTACTTCCTTCTGCCCCCGCTTGTAAGACCACACTAACTAGATTAGACTAAGAAAACGTTATTAATAGGCTATTAGCCTAGTAAAGGGGAAATATTAAAAAAGTGCAGATTATTACTGGCATCCTATCTAACTTCCCAGTTCAAAGTCATAAACTTTAGAGCCAAATTTTAACTATGCATGACCAAGGTTGAGATAAACTCATACAGGCAAATCAAAGAAACTATGCACTTGGTCATACTTATATTCTGTCCACTTCCCAATCTCAAGTCCCAGCAAGGATGCCGCAAACCATTAATAAGAAATTGACACTGTTAATAGCAACCATATGTTCCAAAGGTAAAAGATAATAATTAGCAAAAGTTTATCATGTATCTATTTAGATATGATCACAATGGACTCTCCAGAGCATAGACATACTAAAAGTTTTTCAATACATCTCTGAAAACCCTCTCATTGTGTTTAACAAAAAATGGTGATACAAAATATACTTCTCAATTAATTTAATCCAACTAAACCAAGACCAACGCAACTACTAGAGGTCAGAGACCTAACAGCAGATGTCTGATATTGCTCTACCAATGACCATGCATATACTTTCTCAGTCCTTTCTTTTCAGTCTCCAACTCATCCTCGTACTGCCCACCCTTTACTACGTTTTGCCCTTATAGAAATACTGTCATTAGATTTCACTTCACATAAACCAACGGTGTCTTCTAGTCATGTAGTTGGCCATTAATGACATTGCTATATTGTATTCTAAAGCTCTTCCTCCATCTATAATCTATAACTGATTTGGTTTTCAATACCATCAATCAAGAACTTAGTCATCCTCATAGCAGTTGTACAGCTAAAGCTAGTTTATAATTAAAAGAAGCATCTCAAAGCAGCCCAGGGTAACCAACCCGCATCTTCATGCCTCCAACTACTGCATTGTCAATTGTCACAGATAGCAACTAATCAAACTTTTCACACAAGCAAATAGACTAACACACTCACACTGACTTGTTTAACAGAACGGTAATGGTTATGTTGCATAAACCAAACGGCAAAGAGTTGTCTTCTGGTTCTTGTATTTCATTTCAGGGTCCATAAATCACACCGCTTCCCAAGCGATCTAAAAATATGAGTCTGCAGCTCTTTTGCTCTCACAACTACAACAAAACAGGGAAATGTTTGGATGTAAAGGAAAAGGAAACACTAAAAACAGAGCAGAATAAAGAAATTGGTATAATCGTGAGCAAGGAGAAGGGATCAATCAACTATCAATCATGTTTCTGAAGACAAACAAAACAACAGGTGAAATCGAAAAAGGAAAACCGAAACAGTTTTGGACTTTTAGTCGGCTACAGACAGACAAAAGGACAACAGCAATCTTGCTATTCCTATAGACTAAGTTACAATTAGTACACTATGAATTAGCAATTTAGCATGAACACAACCCAATACACCCATCCCATTCATTCATACCCTGAGAATCTGAAGCTTGGTGGAGAAGGCGATGGCAACCCAATCAGGCTGGGAAGAAGACCACTGCAACTGCTCGATTTCAGCCCCAGCGGTGTAGGCAAGAATTGGATCAAGCCCGCCCTCTACAGGCTGACCCATGGAGGACAAATCCCAAATCAACGCCTGGGAATCATCCCCAGCGGTGCAAATATGGCAGGAGCTGTGGGGAGCCCAGGCGATGGCGTTGACGCTTGCCTGATGCCTCTGAAGCTCAACCACTGGCAGTGTGGGGAAGCGGATATCCAGCACAACCACCTTGGCGCTGTCCATTATGATGGTGGCCATATATCTGGGGTCCTGCTTATTCCACCCCAACCGGACAAGCGGGGTATCGGGCTCCGAGCTCTCATAAATGATGGTGGAGTGCTCCTTGTCGCGCAGGTCGAAAACCCTAACCGAACCGTCGGCGGAGACAGAAGCAAAAACACCAACGCCGCCCCAGGCGATATCATAAACCTCCTTGTCATGGGCGATAAGCTGGGTGTCGACAGTCTCCCGCTCGATGTCCCAGATAGTGCAGGTAGTGTCGATGGAGGAAGTGCCGATACGCTTGGGCTCCGCCTCGTTCCAATCGAAGGAGGTGAGCGGGCCGCAGAACTCGCTGTTCTTGTTGCCGTTAAGGAGAGACTTGAGTTCGACGCGGGAGTGATCGTCGGAGATGCGCCAAATGCGTAGGAAGTCGGAGGAGGTGGCGAGAAGGTCGGGCTTCTGGCACTCCTTGTCAGGAATGAAGATTGTCTTGGTGGGGGGATAAGGATGGTCGAAAGATAGATTAGGGTCGCAGCGGATCTCGCCGTTGGAGTCGTCGAGCTGGACGATCTCTAGTCGATTGGGATACTGCTCGAGCAGGCTGGCGATGGCGAGGCGGTACTTCTTGTCGCGGCGGACGCTCCAGTTCATGGCGTAGATGTGCCACGGGGCCTCGTACGTGTATATCTCCGATCGTTTCTGCTGCTCGTCTGAACCCTCCGGGTTCGGATCGCTGATGGCACCCATCTTCGCCCCACACCTCTCTTGCTTTTCTTACAACTTAGACTATTGCTTCTTCCCCAGTACCAGAGAAATCTTGGATTAGAATTCATACGAACAAATATTGGAGAACACTAGATAACGTCTGCCATTTTTGTTTTGACTTTGCCTAAGGAATTTCCCCTTTTTTCATTTTATATCTGAAAATTGAAAAATATTATTAATTATTTAAAATTTTTTAATAAATTATTATTTTATTATTTTTATTTTTAATCACGTTAATGATTTAGTGATAATTAACTGTTATTTATTAAAATATTATTTATTATTTTATATCATATAACATTAACATAAAAAGTAAAAAATATAATGTAATCGTATCATTATATTAAATCGACATGTCACATTATTATTTATAATGACATATTGATATCGTTAGATAATATAAAATAATAAATGATATTTTGATTAAAAATTTTTAATCAATTGATAATCGAGAAAACTTATTTAATTAAAAATAAAAGTATAAACTTTGATTAAATATAATAAAAATAAAGATTTAATTAAATTTTTTTAAATAATTTAGGATTATTTTAGATAGTATACTAAATAAAAAACATTTTATCCTTTGTAAATATTTATTGAAAAAATTAAAAAATGTAAACAATAATCTAGGATATATCAATTTATAATTAAGTTAATTATTTATAAATTGTTATGAAATATGATTGAAAGAACAATTATAAGTGAAATATAAAAGAAAATATTTAAAAGGGAGTAAGTATTTAGAGAGAATAGGAAAATCTTATTCAAATGTGTATTTATAAATGAAGTGAACAAACCTATTAGTAGGCTAATAACCATGTATCTAAATTGAATTTATAAGATAAAAATAATACTAACAAATTAGATGGATTAAATCCTAATGTTAATCCAATCTAATTTATACTCAAATCTAAATATAGATAATATAAATAGATATTCACAAAAATATTTATAACACTCCCTTCTTAAATATTCATTATATCAACAATATGTTTCGTTAAAACCTTACTAGAAAAAAACCTAATGGGAAAAAATTCGAGTAAAAGAAAAAGAGTATATAATTTTTTTCAATAATATGCTTTTGAAATACTGCCTCATTAAAAACCTTATCAAGAAAAATCTATTGGAAAAAACCTTGATGAAGGAAAAGAGTACAGTGCGTATTTTACTCTCCTTGATGACTATATTATTTAAAATCTTTAAAACGTACATTCTGATCTTTTGTATCAATTTTTTAAATGTTGAAGTAGGAAGAGCTTTAGTGAACAAATCTCCTAGATTGTCACTGAATAAATCTTATAGATTGTGACTTAAACATATTTATTGAATATAATATCACTAATCTCTTGGAGATCATGAGTAAAGAAGAATTTTAACGAAATATGTTTTATTCAATCGCCTTTAATGTACCACTCCTTTAACTATGCTATGCAAACAGTATTATCCTCATATAATATTGTTAGCATTTCCTTCTTAGTTGACAAGTCACACATTTCTCAAATATGTTGAGTTACAAATCTAGACACATTCACAACTTACCTCGTGAATTACTAAAATCTCTATATGGTTAGAAGAAGTAACAACTATAGATTATTTTATAGAATACTATGAAATAATCATACCTCAACATATGAATAAAATACCTATCTGGGATTGAGCCTTGTGTGGATCAAATGAATATTCTGCATCTACATAATCAATTAAATCTGATTTTAATTCCTTTGAATAATATAAGATCATATCCATTATTTTTCAGAAATATCAAAATGTATGTTTAATTCCATTTTAATATCTTCAAGTTAGAGAAAAACTATATCTTGTTAATAAATTCACAGTAAATGATATGTTAGGTTGTGTATTGTTAGTAAGATACATCAATACTCTAATTACACTTAGATATAGTACTTGAAGACCAAGAAGTTCTTCATTATTTTCAAAAGGTCAGAAATGGTTTTTTTTCTTTTTCACATCTAATATGAACTCCATTAATGTGTTTTGTCAATATAAAATTGTTTTAGCATTTTTGCTATATAATTAGATTTGTGAATAAAAATTTCATTTATCAAGTGTTCAATCTAAACACCAAAACAAAACTTTATTTTTCCAATGTCTTTTCTCTCAAATTCTTTTTTTAAGTAATCCATGGCTTTTGCTAACTCTTTAAAAGTTTCAATAATGTTTAAATTATTAACATAAATAGCAATTATCACAAATTCAAATCTGAATCTTTTTATAAAAATACATAGGTATATAGGATCATTTTTATAATCTTCTTTCAACAAATATTCACTAAGGCAATTATACCTCATGTGTCTCAATTGCTTTAATCCATATACATATTTATTTAATTTAATTAAATAAATTTTTTAAAATTCAAATTTTGTGCCTCAAGCAATTCTTTTAAGATTTTTCATATAGATATCGATATCAAATAAATCATATAAATAGGTTATAGTTACATTCATTAGACATATTTTAAATCTTCTCATTTATTGTCAACTAGTTAATATAGAATTGTAATTCCATCCACCACAGAGAATATATTTTTTAATATTCAATACTAGATTTTTGAGTAAAACCTAGTGTGACAAGTCATACTTTATATTTTATAATCTCAATTTTTTCATTTCATATTCGCACAAATACCCATTATATCCCACTAGTTTTACATCATTTCATGCACGAACTACAAGTCCAAATACTTCATGTTTTGCAAGTGAATTCCACCTTGATTGTGTCTTTACACATTGATCAATCATTTTTATGTCTACATTATTTAATAAATGTAAATTCAAGATATTCATTTTTCTTTCATTATATTGAGCACTATATTATATACAAAAATATCGTTAACATTTATTTCATTCTAGTTTCATCTTTTCCCATTAAAACACAATTGATCGAGATCTCTTCATTTTCAATGATTTCAGATACCTGAATTCCTTCTAAAAGTTTTATTAATTATGTCAAGGGTTTCTTATAGAGTTCTACTTCCTCTTTCTAACCATCTTAAATATTTGCTCTTGTTATTTTTCTAGAATTTTATCTTTGAAACCAATTGATCTCCATACTTTTAGCATGCCTTATCCTACAGTGACGTTAATGCTAATATGAGCATTTACCACTGGTATACAAGATTTAGTTATTCTCTTTAGGTCAATAAATACGTTTGGTAATTGATTTACTATATTTTACAAAAAAATTATTTTTTAAACTTCAAGTTTATATTGATTTGTGCAAAGATCAAAACTAGGTAATGATAACTCATTTTGAAAAATTCCCTTTTTCAGTAGTTTATTTTCTCCCCCTAATGTTAAAAATATTGTTTTATCAAAATAACAATCAACAAACTTTACCATGAATAAATCTTCTATTGATAATTCTAAATATTTAATTATAAATCGAGATTCGTATTAAATATATATTCCTAACTTCCTTTAAAGATTCATTTTTATGCATTGTGGTGGAGCAATTAAAACATATGCCACATACAAAAAAATTCTTCAATGAGAAATATTTGGTTCCTAATCGTAAACTAATTATATAAGGGAGAATTTATAATAACTTGTTTGGCCTGATGTATATAAATGTTGTTGCATCCAAAATGTTAGACCCCAAACAAAAATTGAGAGTTTAAATTTATAATTAATGGCCTTGAAATCAATTAAAAGTATTTAATAAACAATTCTACTAGATCATTTTTTATATGAACATAAGTAACAGGTTCTCCAATAGTTATTCCAACTAATATGCAATATTAAAGGCTTGAGATGTAAATTCACCAGCATTGTCAAGACGAATTATCTTGATTATATAATCAGAAAAATATGCTTTTAAATAAATGATTTGGGCGATTACTCTTGCAAATGTCAAATTGCAAGATAATAATAAGTACACATTAACCATTTAGTCAATGCATTAATTAAAACCATAAAATATCTAAATAATTCATATGGTGGATATATGAATCCACATATAACCCCGAATATGCTTCAAAAACTAAGAAATTCAATCCCAATTTTAGTTGGTGGTAATCTTATAATTTATTTGCCTTAAGAACAAACAATAGATAAGTATTTTATTAGATTAAAAAAAAATTTGGTTTTTCAATGAATGATCAAATTAATTTTAATAAGTTTTTGCATCATTATTGATTCAAGACAGTCTAACCGATCATGCCAAACATTAAAATCATTAGAAACCTTCTAGTTTACTATGGGCTTCAAGTATTCTAATATTTATGTAATTTAATCCAGAGAACAAAGTGAGTAATTTTTTTTTTCAACACACATTTCCTACTTGAGATAATAAATGTAATAGAGAGATATTAAGTGTCTTTTTCATTCGTTGTCTCAATATGATATTTATTCAGACGAATATCTTTAAAACTTAATAAACTTCTGTGAGACTTAATAGAAAATAATACATCATCTATTATAAACTTTATTCTCCAAGGTAGTAAAATATTAGGGCTTTCGAAGCCTTCAATTAATCTTGTACTATTAGATATTGTATTGACATTGGTTTTTTTCATTGTCAAGTGGGAATAATATTTTTTATCTTTAAATTTAGTATGCATTGCAGCAATGTCTGCTAAATATATATTTACATTATAGATCTTAGATCTAAAAAGATGAATATTAATATTTTTTCAATAAAATAAGATATATACAATAAGAAATTTACAAGTTAACATGAAAGAACATTAAATACATAATTAAAACACATAATAATAACTTATCATTTAAATACAATAAGAACATATTAAAGCATTTTCATAATATAGTTATACTAAAATATACCAATTGCCATTAACTTTATTTTCAGATATTTCCATTACCAATTAAAAGATTGATTCCTTTTTTAGGACAAGAAAATAAATAGTGGATATTCCATTTTCAATCATATAATTAATTTCTCTTTCAAGGCAAATAAGCATCTTGACGTGTTATATCAATTTTGCTATAGTTAAAATTATTACAAGATATTTCAGTTTTCAGTAATACTTGATAAAATTCAAAACATACAATAGGTTTGTGACCAAAAGTCTTTCATGCCACATCAATGATAATATATTTTCTATATTTTTTTTATTCTTTCTATTTTTATCTTTTCATTATTTATCCACTTTTGGTAGATTGAAAATATTCTTCCACTTTTAGTAAGTTATAAGTATCCATCCATTTTTAGTAGGTGATCCACTTATGATGGGTTATTCACTTCTGGTGGATTATCCATTTTTTAATAAGTTAGTGAATCGAGGCATCCATCCACTTTTGATGATAAGATTATCCATTCGCTTCTGGTGGTAAGATTATCCATCAACTTTTGATGGTAAAATTATTGTTAGAATAGTAATAGTGTAAATTATTATGGTGATCATAATTATCAAATAATGTCACATTTACTTCAAAGAATAAATATTATGATTTTTCATTAATAGTAATGGACATAATATAATATATACTACATGACAGTAAAATTTATATTAAGATTGATTTTTAGGGAATGAAGATACTAAAAAGATATCAAGTCATTTACCTGATTTGTTATAACTAGAAATTAAAGACCAACCACTAAAATTCTTTTAAAGCTTGGAGATGATGAAAACAACGTAATTTCAAAATTTGAAAGATTAGAGGATCGTGTTGATAACGTGTTATAAAATATAACTGAAATAAGAACTATAAGAGAAATATAAGAGAAAGTATTTAAAGGGAGAGAAAGTATTTAAAGGGAGTAAGAAGATGTGTATTTACAAATAAAATGAATGGGCCTATTTATGAGCTAATAATCCCTTATTTACATTAAATTTACAAGATGGAGATAATACTAAGGGATTAGATAGATTATATCCTAATGTTGATCCAATTTAATTTACATTCAAATCTAGATATAGAAAATTTAAATAGATATTCATAAAAATATTCATAATATAAATACATTTTTAAAATCAAATTAATAAACTTTTTGTCATATTAAATGAGATAAATAATTGAAATTTTTGTCTTAATACATCTTGAATGATGAATATGATTTTTTTAAAAACACTCAAATAATTGAGCGTCTAAATTATTATTACTACAAAACTTTGAAGTTATTTTAATTTTTAATTATATTACAAAAATTTATAGTATTATTCAATTTCATAAATTATGAATATCAACTAATGATTGTTTTGCATATATATTGAATTATATGATGCTTCGCTTATCATACAAAAAATGGTGTCTTTGGTGTTTTTTTTTTTGTATTTTTTAAAGGCAAAAATGGTATCTTTGTTTCCAACTACTTTGAGATGGTAGGAAAGAGAAAAGATCTTCTTTATTATTAAAAAGTAATGAAAATATTCACTAGATTGAAACATGTATTTTCAAACAAATTAAATCAAATCATATCGAAAATATTTTTTAAAATTATTTTGTATTATCTTTCTACTCAAATTAAGATCATTAAAATTGTAATAATAAATTTTTTAAGGTAAAATACTTCAACTCTAAAGTTTTAGTCGAAATTTTAAGAGAGTGTATTAATTTTCGAAATAAACATTCTGTTTAAAAAATACAAACACAAAATTAAAAAAGCCTAAATTTTTTTTATTTTTATTAATTTATAAAATTATTAGTATATATATTTTTTTGAAAAATAAGGAGCCCCAAAATCTGGCTTCCAATGGGAGTTTCGAAAGTCTTGATTGGGCTCCCTAGGGGAGCACTGGTGTTCCCTTAAGGAGTTTGTTCGAGGCACCTCAAAGGAGCTCCGGTGCTCCCCATCTTGGTAATTTTTTAATTAATAAAATATAAAAATAAATTATATAATAATAATCTTAAAAATTAATTAAAAATAAAATTATTTTATTGAGACATCATTTCAAAATTTAATAAATTTTTATATAATTTCTATTAAAATTTAAAAAAGTAAAAATTTTTTATTTTTTTAATATGCATTTATCATGAAGTAATGAACATTTCCTTGAGAATAAAGGGTTGGAATCCCATATCCCTTTTCGAGGAGAATTTGGCATCTTTTTCATTAATTTTTTAAAAAATAAAATTTTAAAAAAATTTTAAATTATTTTAAAAAATTTGATATAAATTTTTATTTTTTATAACGTTTCATTAAATTTTTATATTTTTATTTCTAATCAAATAAGTTTTTATAATTAATAATTAATTAATTATTATTAATAAAAACTTCAATTATTATTTTATAACATGTGACATTAATATGATATATTAATATGTTATAATAGATGATGACATGACATGATAAAATAGTCATATGGTAATTTCAACTTTTATGTTATTTTAAAAAAAATCTTTAAATATTATTTGATTCTTAAAATGAAATAAAAAAATCAAATAGTTATTTCATAAAAATAAAATAAAATAATTGTTACAAAGTTTGATTAATTAGAATGAAATACATTATAAATATTATTAATATACCTAATTAATTTAAAAATATATTATTGGAATTAACATAAAAGATTGATTTATCTTTTGATAAAAAAAATCAATGACTAAGTCAAATCTAAAGATGGGCTTTTATTCGGAATAGGCCCGACGTGGAATGGCTCAATCTTTGTCACCAAACGTGCTGTAAAAATAGTAGGACCAAGAATAGCAGTAAAAATTAAAAAAAAAAAGGAAAAGAAAAGAAAGGAAAAAGGTGTTAGAATATTTATTTAGTATATTACTCCATTTCTGTGGCTCTGGTAGCCGTCTGATATTGAGAAGCGGAAATGAAGAAATGAATCAGAGGAATTACAGGCGTCGAGTGGTGGTGTGGTGTCGGGCCATTGGCTTTTCGATGATTGGTTAAAGTATATTAGAATCAGAGAAAATGGAGCTGCAAATGAAGGTGGCGCAGGCGGTCCATGTGCTCAATCACGACACAGAATCGTGCAACCGCGTCGCAGCCAATCAGTGGCTGGTTCAGTTCCAGCAGACCGAGGCGGCTTGGGAGGTCGCCACCTCCATCCTTACCTCCGATCATCAGCCTTTCCTCTCCGATTTCGAAGTCGAGTTCTTCGCCGCTCAGATTCTCAAACGGAAGGTATATGCTCAGGTTTCCACAAATTTCGGACGCTCGCACTATAGTGATACACACTCTGACTCATCTTTGCACGAAATGTTCAAGTTGCTCATTACTGGTCTAGTGTTTGAACTTTGAGGAATCAAATAAAAACCTGCTTCTTGTGTTTCGGTGCAGATCCAGAACGAAGGTTGTTACTTGCAGTTAGGAGTTAAAGATGCTCTGCTTAATGCCCTTCTTCTGGCTGCCAAAAGATTCAGTTCTGGCCCTCCGCAGGTGCTACTTATTCTATTTTTAACATATAGGGGTTTTTTCTGTAATGAACAAAAGGCATAGGATTCTATGCTGTTGCTGATGCTTCCACTGCTAAGCTTTCTTTTTCTCTTGATAACAGCTTTTAACCCAAATTTGCCTTGCACTCTCTGCCCTTATACTTCGTTCTGTTAAGCATGGAAAACCTATTGAGCAGCTTTTTTATAGTCTACAAAATCTGCGGACCCAGAATAATGGGAATGCTGCTGTTCTCGAGATGCTCACTGTTCTACCAGAAGAAGTTATTGATACCCAAACTACTGATTCTAAAATAAGTGCATCCCACAGAAGCCAGTATGGCCAAGAGGTTTACTATTTTCCCTTTTTGGTTCCCTTGCCGCCTCCTCTAATTCTATTTGTGTTTTCTTTTACTAAGCTGAATTTTTACTGCACATTTATCATCGTTATTATTTTTGTATAAAGCAGCTTCTTTCACATACTCCTGTGGTCATTGAATTCCTACTCCAGCAATCTGAAAATAAGTTTGAAGGTGACATTCAACTAAATGAAAGGAACAGAAAGATTCTCCGTTGCTTACTCAGTTGGGTAAGATAGTTTCTGGAAGTCATGTCATAGCCCTCCTATCACATTTGCGTTTTTTATTGCATGTGTTAATTCCCTTTTAGTGTGGCATTGTTGC